TGTGAAGCAACATGTCACATTCAAGAGATTTTTTTGGATGTGTGTGTTCAAGCTGCTCCAACATAAAATGTCTGCTTTATGCTAATGAGTGCTGTAAATTTTCTGCAATCTTCCCCCAAAACACAAAGAAGATCAGTAAATGACTAATTTACACAAAGTGGAATATCACTATATTTAATTTTTTTCTATAAGAGAAGGCAGGATAGATTTGCAACTTATAAACTAAATCAGACACGTATAACAAGCTTTTGTGAGCCCAAGCCCACTTCATCACATGCTGTGAAAGGACATTCGTGAAGCCATGTAAGTCTGTCCTTTCATAGCATCTGATGAAGTGAGCTTGGGCTCACAAAAGCATATGCTATCTAGATCTGATTTAGTTAGTTCATAAGGTGCAAATCTACCCTGCCTTCTGCCATTTTTCCCTTTAACTTTAAAATGTCCTGTCCTGCATGTAAGTTATAGGCAACAACATTTAAAAATGTTTTGAGTTTCAGGAATGAAACTGCTATGGGTGCTATATATTATTAGGGCCTTTGTACATGCCACAAAATTGGCCTTTAAAGCAGCTTGAATGCCCTTTTGCACCACTTTAATGGCATTGCTGTCTGCACATTCAGCGGCGTATTCCACTTTAATGGCGTTGAGGTTTGCACGCTCAGCAGTGTATTCCGCTTTCATAGATTGTAAGGCTGGAAGGGACCTCACAAGATCAGGGGATCCAGCCCCTTGCACCAGGCAGAAAAGCAAGATGACTACCCAGTCTTCTCTTGAAGATTTCCAAGGTAGGCAATTGCACCACCTCTGGAGCGAGCTTATTCCACAGTGTGAACACCCTAACTGAGAAGAAGTTTTTCCTAATGTTGAGCCTGAAACGGTCTTCCAAGAGTTTGTGGCCATTACTCCTGGCTCTCCCCAAGGGCACCCTGGTGAACATTTGTTCACTGAGCCCCTGATGTACTTCCCTGATGTAGTGGTAACCTACTAACGAGTCCCTGCTCAGTCTTCTCTTTTTCAGGCTTTAAATTACTTTGGTAGGTAGCAAGATAAAACACCTCCAAGGTGTTTTAGTTTGCTACCTAATGAAGTGTAACAGTGATGGGGCGCTGGAAGCTGGTGTGCACAGGGCTTGTTGGGCCCCATGCAGCACAGGGGCTGTGGGACCCGGTGGCAGCCCGTGCAGGCAGGCTCCACTGAATTGAAAAAAGAAAAAAAAAAAAAGCGGAGAGTCTGATCTTTCCCACCCCCAACTCTTTTCTGGAGCCTGCCTGAGTTGTGCAGGGACCTGGTGCCTCCTTCCACAGCTGCTGCGTCCCCATCCCCCCCACCCGAGACCACCTGGTGGACTGGGTGCTAGTGGTTAGGTGCCACCTGCGGGGGCCCTGCACAGCTCAGGAACTGCTCTAGAGAACTAAACCAAATTAAAACCCCATGGCATGTACAAGCAGCCTTAATTACTATGTGTAAACAGTTAACTACTTACACCAATACAAACACGCATCAAAAGTTTGCTTCAATATTTTTTAAGAGTCAATCCCTCTTCTAAGAGAGATTTTAATTTAAGCGCAATTCAGTGCACAGCAACTTAATAGGATTCCTACATATATTTGGTCACCTGATGGTTTTGTTAACACAATTCAGGCCCTAAACCGCTTACATATGCGCTTAACCTTAGGTATGAAAGTACAGACTCAAAGTCATGTTAACATACGTTTACAGGATAAATCGTCCACACATACTTTATATACCTTCATTATTATACAGGTTACCTTAAGTCATTCTTTGGTCCTGAAGTCTACAGCCACAACAGAACTTTGAAAGAAGTGGCATTTTCCCATTTCGTACCAAAACAGACAACCCCATGCTTTTAAATTTTTTTTTAAAACTAGATCTACATAGCTCAAGACCAGTGCTAGGAGCTTGGAAACACCTGACATTTTTTCTTGCAGTGCATGAATAGCTTGTTTCATTGGCTTCCACAGAAAGCTTTACTAGTTTACAACTGAGCATATACCTGTTTGCAAACTAAAAGCACAGTGGCAGAGAAAAAAGAAAAACAGAATAGCTTATTATGTTAAAGAGTTTGTTACCTAGATAAAGTGCTGTGCACAATACAAACTACTGTATTGGCCAGACAACTGAATATTAATGTCAAGAAATCTTGCTCTCAGACTGAAAATCCTGACCTTTTGCTGCATTTTACCAGTGTAAAGGCATGATAATCTGACAAGACTGACTAAAAATAATCTTCCACTAATCACTACGCAGAGAGGGAAAATGTATATGGTTACTATGCCCTAGGAGAGCATGCAAAATTGTCAAGCAGAGGGACAGTGAAATCTTATCCATGTTTCAAGGCATAGAAAAAATTCAGATTCAGAGAGAAATAATTTGTTTTATAGGTAAAATGTGTGACTTTTATAACCATATCACCATTTTCCTGCTATGGTAAATTTAAATGTTTCTGCTGTGGTCAATTCTCTTCTTATAGTACCAGCTCACTTTCTGCCAAAGGGATTCTATGTAGAACTTAAAGAGATTTATTTTAAATATTTTTTTACTAAACTCAAACATACAATATTTAATCTAGCTTAAAATTTTTACTACGTTCAAGAAAATGCAGTATAAAAATTTTGACCCAGCAGACTTATAACCATTAACAATTATAAGTGTTCACTAAACAGGAGGAAAGCGGTAGACTCTGACCCTGAAATCAATAAGCCTCTTCTATCTGAGTGACTGCAAATGGATCACAGGGGACTTGACTCCACGACTCCGGAGGTCCCTTCTAGTCCTATGTTCTCAATATTAAATATGGAAAGAGGAATAAATGCACTAGAACAGCTTGGTCTGCGGTTTTCTTCAGACAGACCAAATGTGTTTTCATTGAATTATTCATGTCACTGACAATGCTGTCTCCCTGTGAAAATGTAGGATTTCATTTCAGATGCAATATTATTAAATATAATGATATATGTATTTTACATATCAGAAATCTTGTGTAAAAGAAATTAAAGCATCTAAGGTAAAATAAACCAACTCAGGAACAGATCCTCAAAGCTATCTAGGTACATAACACCAGCTAATTTCAAAGGAATTTAAGCTCCTAAATATCACTGAGGATCCAGGCCTCAGGATCCAATTTTGGCATGCTGAGCAACTTCACACTCACTGCTTTCACTAGGGATTCAAAGTGCCCAGTACTCATGGGGTGAGGGGGGCAGAGAGGCCCTTGGTACTTGAGCCTGGATTTACACACAGCTATAATTCCTACTTCATTCACAAACAATTTGTGGGGGGTGAAAATGTTCAGGACCAGCCACTTGCCCTGATGGTGTACATCTACACAGCATTAACAAAGCAGACCCTGAACAAGATCATCCAGAGTGCGGATTAACACTATCATCCAGAGTGTGGATTAACACTGTATGCACCAGAAAGGAAAAAGCAGATCCTGTGACATCAGATATAAAGAACAGTTCAAATGTCAATGCCAGTTGAAAGACCAAGGTTCAAGGGGTGCAATGATTTTAAAAAATAAAAATATGCATTATAGCTCCAGGCCTGCAACTGGATCCATGAAGGTAAAATTGTGCCTGCTGATGTCACGGCTCTGGGCAGGTATTAGAGGTGTGCAGGACTGGACTGCTAATCGGCTGTTGTTGAAGGCTGCACGGGAGGACATTTTTCTTCAGTAGCGTGAGACTCTATATCACTGCTCCGTCTATGCCACAATCCTAAAGCACTCACTGTAAAACAAATCTTATTTCTAGAACTGCTTCTATAAACATGTTGTCAGGCAGCACTGAAGGTCCAACTATCTGCCACAACTGTTTCAAGCACCATAGGGTAACAGCACCTAAATACCTCTGAGGGTCTAAACCAGTCATTCTTGCCCTTTCTAGACTCAAAGCACCCTTCGACAGCCTCAAGGCAGCCCTCTGACAACCTCAGCTCTTAGCTTTCACTCAGTTTCTGACTACAGAAGACTAACAGAGATGTTCTTCTGTTGCAGAGACTCAGAAAGACCACAACAGGCCAGGATACTTTTAACACTCCTGGCTCCTATATGAACATCTCTGGGTTTATCTGGTGATGGTGTCATAAGAGCCACATTGGAGCCATGAGGAGCGACATTGGAGCCATGATGTCCTACACTGGAAAGCTTCTCTCACTATCCTAGTTGGTGCAATAAGGGATGCTGCCCTAGGAAGTCCTTGCCTCTTGTGTTTATGGGGCGAATCTGGGGCATGCACCTCACAGGGCTTGCACCGCGCAGCATTCCCCAGGGGGGAATGTGGCTCCCTGGGTGAGAATCATGGATGTAAACAAGGTCATCTCAGCCGCCGCACGGCAAGGCTCGCTGGCTCCAGACCGGAAGGGGGGTGGGATCACTCGCGTGTGCACAGGCTCAGACATACATGGGTTCACAACTCACACATGCACAAGTGCACAGGCTCACACACGGGTTCACACACGCTCACAGGCTCACACAGAGGTGGTGTGTCACACACACACGAGGTGGGGTCACACACACCTCTCCCCCGGGCTCGCAGGCGAAGGCAGGGCCCCCCGGCGCTGGTGCCCGCGGCCCTGGCCCTGGCCCCCGTCGCAGGCAGGCCGCAGGCGGCCCC